CGTCGCTGAAGTACATTGTCGGGTTGAAGGTCAAAGGTCGACGTGTCTTTATTTGTCTTTGCGCTCATTGTAGTTTCTCCCATGGTCGTAACTAAGCGGCGCTACCAACTATTATGAAACAGCCTGGAGCTGTCTCTTAAACTACGAGTAGATCGGTTTATAGATAGTTCAGCCTTAGTGGATAGGCCTAGTCTATCTGTCGTATTCTCGATGTCTAAAAAGTGTTATCCTTCTTCAGGGATGTCTCAGCCTCACGCTCCTTTATAGTTCGGAACCCTTCTATACAGTAGGTGAGGGGTAACCCCGATCAGGAATGTTTAGACTCTTCGTCCTTCGTATTATACAGGATGCCCAGAATCTATAATCTGGCTCATGTCGTATCATAACAACAGAGTGGAGTGCAAAACATTTTAGTAGGACATGGTGGTGAGGCTTTCACATATTTTTCAATTATTTTAAGACATACGATGGCATACTCATGAGTATCTAAAGCCCCTCCATGGTCCATGGTAAATCTCCTGTCTGGTACAGCATAGGAGGAAGAGAAAACGGGAATCTTACGGGCTTGCTACCTATGTGCACTGTAGTGTCAGTTTTGTAGGTCGGAACCAACATGTCCTTGTCTTGCGGAATCAAAACGCTCAATTCGTAACTTGATATGTCCATCTTGTTCCCGTTTGATTTTGGTTTCGGGTAGCCCCACGCCTGTTTCGAGAGATTGTGACTTCCCACCATGACCCACTTGAGCAGTTTCCAATCGTCGCCATTATCACACGTATAATACTTAACATGAGGTGTGAGATTTTCCCTCCCAGTGATGTCTCCTGGCGTAGTCCATTTTCGGAGATACTTTTTGATATTTTGCTCGTATTGTGCCTTATGTATGATTGAGCTCTCATACTTGAAATGTATGGCTGCTCCAGACAAAAAGCCGACCTTACTTCCAAGCACATCCTTTTTCGTCGGAAATATGATGTGCGGCACATAATTATGTTCTTTTTGATGATCTTCAAACGATTTTCCACCGGGAACAAGATGCTGCCATGTTTTAAACATTAGAGGACATAATATGTGAGAAAATACAGAGCTTGTGTTTCCCCTTTGACTTGTATACGGATACGCAAGAGATGTCACTTGTGACAATATGTTATGCCTAGAATCCGTGTTTTCGATTAGGAGATTATTTCTCTCGAGGACTTGACGAAGCTTCGCATACCCGTAACATTCAGCTGTAGACAGATTTCCTCGCACATTGTACACCCCAGGAGCGGAGGCCACCAATTCAACATCGACAGAGCTGAAGTCGAATTTTTCAAGAACTGAAACAAGGCGTTTAGTTTCATTTAGACCATAACGAGACAAGTAGCGCAAGAGGTCAAAGCGAAATCTCCTTCCCGAAGTGGTGGTTGTTGGTCCCTTTTTTATTCTGCCCGATTTCCAGAGTGCTTGCGTCAAGCCACATATATCTAGTTGAGTAAGGTTACAAGTCATGATGATAACTTCTGCATCTCCATTGTCGTAAAAATTGACCATCATTTTCGTGTGATGTGACGCAAACCTATTAGGAAGCGGAGCCACCGCCTCGGAAACATTAAACTTTTTCCGTATAAGAGATTTTTGAGTTGCAGATTCGAATATCGAGCTACCTGTTATAAAAACAATATTTTTGTATTCAGTGGCAAAACTTTCACCGAGAAATGAGAGAAACATGGGTAGCTGGACACTGAAGTTAAACTGGTACGTTTCCAGGAGATTTGGTGAGCCGAGGAGACTAGCAAGGGAGACAACATCCACATTTTCATCGCTGTTATTCGTGGTATGGAGATTACTTAGGTCGCAAAGTAATCTGATGCTAGAACGAGGGCCCTCGCCGGAAGACTTGGGGAAGTCGGTCTGGTATAGAGTATTCATGGAACTTGCCTCTGATGGACTTTCGGCCAGATCAAGCGTTTTTGTTGAATGATTCTCTGAGGCTAATTTCTGTTGTTCGGCCACGGCTACTTGATGATGCAGATTCAAGACGGTACCCTTGATCGTTTTTGAGTCTGATTGCTTCTCTTCTAGTTTGTCTTCTTCGCTGTCAGATAAGATTATTGCTGGTAGTTCCCGAGTGCCTGTGACTTGACGGATGCTGGCCTTGGCCTCTTGGGATACATGTGACTCCTTGTGTTCGAAGAACGTTTTACGTCGTTTGACTCGTGCTTCCTCTGCATCTTTTAAAAATGTTCTATTGGAAACCTCAAGATCAGATTCTACATGGTGGCTCAGCACAATCTCCAAGTCAGACCCTGAGTCGTCATGAATTACCTCATCAACTGCCCGAGTCATCGTGTCAACGCCGTGATATATGTATCGCCAGCGCCGAAAGATTGTTTGAGGGTCCAGAACTGATCTGCTTTAGGACCGGCACGACCAAATCTACCAAGCCAGCGCGGGTGCTAATCAGGTTTATATGTACTTCTTTTAGTGAGGAGCCTTGAGCCAGGCCAGCGGTGTGTTGATGACCGCAGATCACTACCATTGGAATGAAAATTCAGTCTCTTCATTGTTGTTTTAGCATTAGCAGACGTTTAGCTATGTCACATTTTTCAGACCCGTTGAGGAAAAAATAAAATCCTTTATGCACTGCGAATTTACTCATGTATACAGTTGGAATCACTGCTGCAATCTACGGACGAACTATGGCAACTTGGATTTCTAAGTACAGCTGTATGTGACTAGTGTACCGAATCTTCTCCAAATACTATTGGAAGGAATGAAGAATTTCCCTACTCACCGGTCCGGGTTTGTATTATATATATTACACGAAGCTAGAGGGATAAAAGCAGGACACGAATTTCTATCAGATTATTTTCTCCTACTTTAACACTCACAACTACAAATTCAACATGCTATTGCGGATATTGTTTGGAATTGCAGCAACTCGATGATTTTATCTATTGGTGCCGCCTCATGAGTGCTCTGGCATTTATCTGTCGCAGAATTTCGAGACTGTGAATATCAATCCGTGTCGAAAAACTTTGGGTGCAAAACCCCAACTTATAACCTTACAGGATGCCGAGGGGATCCTGATGGTAATGCTGTTTTCAGATCATCCCTGCATGGCCGGAATCCTATTTTTGTTTTCTAGCTACTGGTTGCTTTGGAATCGCGCAGCGAGGCACAGCCACATACAAGCCCATACAAGCTCCCGAATAGTTTCCTGGTGCATACAAGTATCACTCCGACTCAAAAATTAAAGAAACCATTACACCAACACCACCCCAAACATATCGTTGTTGCCTTCCGAAACCCCAACACTTTATTCCACTGCAATTGCGGGCCGATTTTGACACGTGTTTCCATTTACGTCCCCATGATACAGTTCAACTACAAGGACGAGATTGTCTCGTCGCCAACAGTCATTGTTTCGGGCAGAGTCAGCACTTCTGACCGTGGAGTGATCCAATTCGTCAACAACGATAATAGTGTTTTTCCAGCACAGAATTTCGAGGTCAATAATTCGCAATTCAAGGCTCTTCTCCATGTTTCTCCGAACGAGCCTAATCATTTCAGAGTGAGCTTCTGGGGTGGCGCAAGAATATCCAACACAGGCGTCCCCACAGGAATGCTGCGCTTGATGGAGGAAGGCAGCCTCACTCTATACTATTATCCGTTGCCGGATAATAAACCAGTGCATTTGTGCGTTGTTATGGGTCGAGACTCGACAGGAGAGTACGACATGCCCAAATACAAATTGCACCGAGGCGAGAGAGCCAATTTAGACACAGCGGTTCAGAGACTAAAAGTGGCTGGTCGCATGATGCAGGCTTTCACTCAGGACGAGTTCCACCGCTTGGGGTTGAGCAACCGCTCGTTTCAATTGGTGGAAGAAACCACGACTTCCCAGCAGCTATTTGGCGAGAACAGAAATGTGCCCGCTGCCCATAGCGAAGTGAAAATACATGTTCTCCAGTCTCCAAAAAGCGTTGCGGAACTAAGAGATCCGGACTTGGCGCAGCAGAACCCGAAAGCGAAGAACAACGGCGGCCTCTTTTCGCATGCCATCGACCTCATCAAAGCCAGTGACTTGATCAAGCCATACCAGAAGAACAACACGCCTATCCAGTGTGCAGTCATGTACTTGGACTCGACATGGGACGGCAAACTTATTACAACCCATGCAGCGCTAGGAGGCGGCACGGGCGACGTCAAATTGGCCATATTCGGGTCGCACGGCCTTCATTCATTTCCCTTGACGTTCCCTCAGATGAGTCCCGCGTTTATGGATGACACTGTGCTTTCAATCAGAGAAGTGGCCAACGATGCCAAGCAGTGTGGCACCGCGTGGGAATGTTTGAACATATGCATGGGTGCGTTCATGCACGAAATTGGACATCTGTTGGGCTCGCCCCACCAGGTGAATGGTGTGATGCTCCGTGACTACATCTGGTGGAACCGCCTGTTCATGACCCGTGAAGCACGATGTATCAGAGACGGAAGTCCGGGGTCAGTCATCGGCCATGACGGCAGCTTCCCAAAACAGTGCCATTGGAACATCTTAGATATCATGCGCTACTTCTACCACGGATCATTCTCAATTCCTACCGACTTGAACGATCCCACTTTTCCCAAACAAGCTTCCACGCTTATGAAGCCCCCTGCGGGCGGGGCTGTGCCTTCCATGTACGTGACTTCTTCGGGTCTGGTTGTTGTGAAGTCATCGTCTGGCATATTTATGGTCGAGCTAGTTGGAGAGGACTTGGCCCGTCATCACATCAAGTTCTATCCCCAATGCTATGGTGGAAGTGGCCCTTTGCCCGAAGTGGTGCTCAACTTCGAGGAGTGTTTGCGTGAATTCCGCAAAGGCTTCAAAAACTCAGCAGACAATTTCGACGTGCGGGTCTTATCTGTGACTGGTGATCTCTGGTTGCCCAATTTTAAGTCTCGTTGCTACCTCTCGCTGGACTCGATGATTGAGCACGACTTTAACTTGGGAAGAGGCCCAGTCAAAGGCACGAAAAGCGAGTTGCTTGGCTCCAGCAAAGGCCTGATGCGCTTTGTAGGCTTTGACTCCGCGAGGGTCTACAAAGTGCGTGTATACCACGGAGGCGCTTTGGACGGAATGTCATTTTATTACCACGGGAACAGATTTGAGTCGGAGACGGAGAAACCTCCCCCACTCCCCAAAAGAAGTGGATGGAAAACGCTATTTGACGGCTCGGCACAAAAACCGATGACGGCACCGAACCACTTCACCTCCGGTGAAGTTACTATCGGGAACCAAACACGTAATTTCACTGACTTCGCTATTCCAGACAACGAGCGGATTGTCAAGTTATCTTTCCGGAACGGCCAGTGGATTGACGCGGTGCAGATCGAAACAGATCGAGGGACTTGCTCGCCCATGCTTGGTAATGCCAAAGGTGGACATCTTTCAGTTTTAGAACCCCCAACGCCGCAACATTCCATTGTGGGGTTGTACGGGTACACAGGCAGGTGGATGGATGGAATCGGAATCTTGTATGCTCAGCTTTAGAACATGTGTATAAACTTTGACTGAAATTCAATCGGAGGAACGCTCTAAGACTTTGTCTCTCGCCCGATTAAATTCGACAGGGTACCTGTCAACTACCCCCCTGACCGAGTTCTTGCGGAAAAGCAAGGACCCGGAGCTTCCATTCTTTAAGCGGCCAATCCGCGAGGCCAAACATTCAATGTCCTTCTCAAGCTCGCCAAGCTCATTCTCGGTGATGTATTGCTTGTACAAGGCCTTGAGTGAACTCAAACTAGCAAGGATTTGGGCTTGTTTTTCGGAAAGTAACTTCGATTTGTCATTGAGCTGCCCACTCAATTGTGCCTGCATTGCCAATGACGAGTCTAAGGCGACCAGGTCCAATGCGTCATTCAACGATTTTTCGAAGTACGCTGTGTGTTCTGCAATACCTGAACCGTATGTAAGATGGCAGTTCTGGTTATCAGATACTTCGAGTGACTCGAGAAAATCATCTTCACTGCTTATGTAATCGTCTTCTGAATCGGCTTGGTCGGATGCTAGCACAGCGGATTCTGAATTGTTGGACTCAGATAGTGGTTCTGAGTTTTCTACGGTTTCTGGGGATCTCAGCTCGTCGCATTCTTGAGGCCCTCTCTGGGAGGAATCATTCAGCAGATACGCAGATACTGAAGGAGCCGAGTTTTCGAAGCTAGCATTCGTTTCAGTATGTGTGCTCAGATTTCGTGCGGAAAGAAATGGCGGTGTCTCGGAAGAATTGGGTGAATGCAGTTCTGAAGATCCACTGCTGTTAGAAGGCAGCAAAGCATCGCTTTCAAAAGCGCGCATGAGGTTGCTGGGACTTGGTATAAACAGTTCGTAGAGAACTTTGAAGAATGCAGGCTTAAGCTTCAAACATGCATGCTGTGTTTAATTTGACAAATACGTTGAGCCATGGAGTCAAGGCTTGCGCGGCCGCAGGAAATGCGGCCCTAAATTAAACGTGAAACTGGAGGGCCGCGCCCAGGGCCCGTGGCAATGTCTTATGGCACGTTGGGCCAAGGTTATGGAATATCATGCGGTTTAATATACTTAGAAATGCGTGGGGATCAAAGCAAGTATATGTAATTTTTTCTTTGCAAAGCTGAGAATCTGGAAATGCTGCCTTGGGACTTTTTCTGCGTAGTTGATTGTCTGGGGATATGTCTATAATTGCCAGGGCAAGCGGTCCGGCTCTCTTTTTTTCGCGTCACTCCGGCCCAAGTACTGATCGCGGAGCCAACTAGTCAACCAAAGTGAGCTCGCACCACTAATCTATACGCTTCGTAAAACACCATTGCTCCTCGCAACGAACCGGAAAATTAATTTCAGTCGAATGTCTGCGTTCCAGTTTCAGAGCTCGGAGGTCTTGGCCCGGCTCAAGCCGTTTGGAATCACGTTTGAGAAATCGTTGACGGATCTTATCAAAGGAATCAGAGCACATTCGAAGGACTCGCCGGAGGCTCTATCGACTTTTCTCGCCAATGCAATTCAAGAGTGCAAGGAGGAGTTGGTAACCACCGACCTCGAGGTCAAGGCAACCGCTGTTTTGAAATTGGCATATTTGGAAATGTATGGGTTCGACATGAGCTGGTGCAACTTCCACATTTTGGAGGTGATGTCGTCGCTGAAGTTCCAGCAGAAACGCATTGGATATCTCGCCGCCACGCAGTCTTTCAAAAGTGAGCAGGACCTTTTGATATTGGCGACGAATCAATTCAAGAAAGACCTCAATTCGCACAATCACATCGAAATCGGATTGGCGCTCAGCGGGATCGCCACCATTGTCACACCTAACTTGGCCAAAGATATTGTGGAAGACATCGTCATGAAGCTCACTCATTCTAAACCGTACATCCGGAAGAAGGCAGTGCTTGCACTTTTTAAGATCTTTCTTCAGTATCCAGAGAGCTGGAAAGCAGCATTACCTCGTGTGATTGAAAAGCTAGATGACCCAGATGTGGCCGTCGTGAGTGCAACAATCACAGTAGTATGTGAGATTTCCAAAAAACACCCCAGCTTCTTTCTTGCGTATTTGCCAAAGTTCTTTACTATCTTGGAGGATACCTCGAACAACTGGCTCATTATTCGTATTCTCAAGTTGTTCCAAAGCTTGCTGAAAATCGAGCCGCGGATGAAAAAGCGGATAATGCCTTCCATTGTCAGTCTCATGTCAAAAACCGACGCCACGTCTCTCATATACGAGTCTATCAACTGTATTGTTGACGGCAGCATGATTTCTCCCGAGTCTTCCCGCGATAAAGAAGTGGCGAAAATGTGCATTGATCATCTTTTGAAGTTTTTCCATCAGAACGACTCTAATCTAAGGTTCGTTGGGCTTTTAGCGCTCATCAAAATTTTGCATGTGTTCCCGTCATTCATACATAAGCTGAGTGAGGTTTCCTCCGTAATCTATCTTTGCATCCAAGACGACGATATCATCATCAAGCGCAAAGCGCTTGAGATATGTCACTACTTAGTCACCGAGGACAACATAACAAACTTGGTGAAGACCCTTTTATTGCAGATCTTACCAGAAAACACGAGTGCTCATTGTCCAGAGACATTCAAGTTGGAAATCACCAGCAAAATTTTGGAGATAACATCTGCAAACAACTATGGCAATATTCCAAATTTTAAGTGGTACGTGGTTGCTCTCAAAGAGCTTCTTAATATGACACTCTTGGCTGAGTCTTCCCGGTTGGTGGATGATGGTAAGGTAATTCTTTCAAGGGACGTTCTGCTGATGATTGCCTCAAAATTGGGCAATGAGTTCAAGTCTTTGGCAATGAAGGTTCCATCTATTCGGCCATACATCATTTCAAAGGTGGTAATGGAGTACGTCAAGAACGTAAGACTATTACAAACTTGTCCAATTCTAATGAAAGATTTGTACTGGGTAATGGGCGAGTATCTGGATGATTATGGTCTCATTGAAACCGAAAGTGGGGATGACTTGGATTCCACCACATCTTTGAGCCAAAAAGTGACCCTCTTCAATCTATTCGTCAACAAGCACATCGATGAGAAATTGCTGGGAGATGCAATGTTCCCTATTTCTAGCGAACTCCCCGTACTACCCAATGCTGACGTCATTTCTAGTATCATAGAAGCACTAGTCAAGCTTTTCAGCTCTATCGTGACCGATTACGAGAAGCTCTATTCTTCCAAAAAAGAGCTCTCGTATGATAAATATTGCGAGCTATCTTATTTTCTTTTGAAATTAATTCGTTTCTTCGAACATTGGGAATCAAACACATGTTATGAAGTGCAAGAGCGTTGCTCGTCGTGGCTTGAATACCTTAAACTTTGTTTTGACTCTTTGAAAGTTGACGATGTGGAGGGGGTAAAAAGATTGGAGACCGAGGAATTGCAGTATTATGAAAAACTTCTGCTTGATGCCTCACAAGATGACGCATTGTCAAGAAACTCAGACGAGTTGCAAAGCAGCGACGAAAGTGAAGCCAGCGACGACAGCAGTGATGAGGATAAAGAGGGTGTCGAACCTAGTGAAAGCAGTCATATCGCTGGATCCCATCAAACCGATTTCGAGGACGAATCTAACGGAGGTGACACGGCCGACCGTACGCAAAGCTTACAGGGCAATGAATTTGAATCAAGTCAGCTTCCTGCTCTTTTGACGAAAATTTTACCCTCGTTTTTCAAGAGCTATCCTCTTAATCCAATCTCTGCCCTTGCACAAAGCCGGATACAGGTCCCAGCGGATCTTGACTTGGAAGCAGTGATTCAAATCCCGCCTGCTTACTGTTTCCAAGAGGATAATAAGGTTGCAGCATTCGATCTGTCTGATGAATCCGGCAATGAATCAAGCGAGGAAGTTGCTGATCGTGAATTACTGGCAAGAGATCGCCTTGACAGAATGAAGGACGATCCGTACTACCTCAAGAGTTCTGATAAGAAGAAACCCAGGAACAAAAAGAGCAGAATTGTGAGCCTAGAGGATGATCGATTGGTTTCCGGCTCGGGCGCTCCAAGTGAAGTCCCGTCGCTCATCGATCTTTCCGAAGCCCCAAGCGGCAAGTCCAAGAAATCCAAGAAAGTCAAGAAAGAAAAAGTTTTAGTTTTAGCTGAAGATTCCTTGGGGGATGACAAAGAAGGTGCAATGCTAGGGCCAGAGAAGAAAGAAAAGAAACTAAAAAAGAACAAGCTCATTATTGATACGTTGAATTTGGATGCTTTGAACCTTGATTCACCGGATGTCGAATTAGACCTGTCATCGAAACCCTACGAGTACGAGGTTGACTTGAACCAGCTCAGGTCACAATTTGCAGACGAGTCTATGAAGAAGGCCGGGAAGGAGAAGAAAAGATCGAAGAAGAGGGAGAAGACGAAAGCAATCGAGGCAGTCGAGCCGATTGTGGATAAAAATTCAGAAGCAGGGGTACAGGTTGCTTCTTCCGAGTCTCTTTTGACGGCTGGCCAGGATGTTCCTACCCACGTGCAGAGTGACCACCTTGTCTCTATCCCGCAGAAAAGCAAAAAGAAAAAGAAGAGGGCGGTCATTCAAGAGTGAAATTTACACCAAAACATGAAATATTAAACGTGAATCAAGTGATATACTTCTATAGACTTTAAGCGGAAACAGCGTCAAGAGCCTTTTGGGCAGTCTCGACAGCAGAGGCTGGGTTGACACCGGTAACGAACTTGCCGTCAGTCACGGTGAAAGAGCTCCATGGGTCGGAGGGTTGCACGTAAGTGGCACCACACGACTCAAGGCCAGCCTTGGGCGTCTTCAACTTCAAGTTGGACATGATCTGGTCAAGCTGCATCATGACCTCACCCTCATCAGTGAAGCCTGTTGCCTTCTTGCCCTTGAGGAAGTACTCGCCGTCCGAGCCGCGGGCATTTTCGAAAATGCATGGACCATGGCACACAGCGGCCACAACACCGTTCTTCTCCCAGATGGCCAAGTACAAGGATTGCAAGTCGGTGGCCTTTGGGAAGTCAAAAAGCGCACCGTGGCCACCGGCAGCAAAGAAAATGTCATAGTCAGCTGGGTTGACCTCCGATGCTTTCTTGACGTTCTTGACGGCCTTCATGAACGAGGACTCGGAGTCCTCATAGACCTTTCTGTCGTCGCCCTGCAAGAAATCGGCCGAAAGCGAGTGCTCGTCCCAGCCAAAAGTACCGGTCTCGGAGACTATAGTGACATCGACACCATTTTTTTCAAAGAACTCATATGGGTGCGAGGCCTCGACGAAGAAAACACCAGTGTTGGCGCCATCAGCGTAAAAACCGCCGTTGTAACTAGTGAGAGCAAGCAAAGCCTTAACCATTGTGATGTTGTTTTCTGTGTTGTTGATTTAGAGTCAGGTTCTGGAGAGAATGAGAATACTGATGCTTCGAAAAGCTGATTGAACGAGGCATTGTCGAGCTTTATATATTGGGCCCAGACGTGGGATTACATTTCGCAGCAATGAAGCACTGTTCCTGCGAGTGACAGAGTCTGGAGACTGTCCGGGTTTTCTTGCTGAGATGCGGAGAAATATGAGCGCAGGAAAGCAAAGAAGAGAATGGAACTCTGGGAAAGGCTCTGTGCATGCACTACATGGAGAAACAGTTCCGCACCTGGTGAAGGTCATTAAAGAATTCGCTTACTAGACCAGGAAAAAATGGAGCAGCAAGTCTGGGTCGTGTTTGGACTCATGAGGCGTGATGGAATCTGACCTTGTGCTAACCTTCGAGGTGCCCCACTACTCGCTGACAACTGGTCCACGTCATCCCCATTAACGCCTCTGTCGGATACTGCATACCAATCAATTGCAGTAGAAATCATTCTGTACGTACGAGTTGTTAAATATTTTGGATAAATTTAATCAAGACTGATGGTTTTTGCACGCATAATCTCCATAATCCGAAACCCGAATATGCTGTATCTTGGTTTGAATCCGAAGCAGGCAAATCACAGATCCCGACTCTCAAGGCTCTCGCGCATCTGTGAACCACCTTCTCTTCTTTGTTTCTACATAAAGGACATGATTGCTGAGCTGTCACTTTGGTTGTAGAAACACAGCCAATGCTTCCACGTGACACCTGACACGATAACCAAAACTCTCTGGAGTATTGATTATATACTGCACACAGGGAATACTATGTGCAGATTCTGCGTCAGTGGGCATAAACATCCGCAGGTTTGCCACAGCAATTTGTCAGATGAAAAGGCTACTACTTGACAAAGGGTAGGCTACGTCAAACAACCCCTATTTTCAATGGCAGCTATTACAGGAAGTTTCGAAATACTTTTGATAGTGATGTAAATTTGCATTCCAGACATCCTAATTCACAAGAACTCAAATGCCCAGTGGCCGAACGGTTTCAAATATATACAAAAGTAGTTCCAGATAGTTCATATCCTTACATTCTCTCTTTTTCTTCAATTTTTGTAATACTATCCTTCTTTGTCTGAATATATTCTACGGCCTTTCTTCTGGTGTCTTAGGATTACGAGGAAGCAGAGTACTATAGAACGATAACGGTTGTGTTTTCCTTAGGGATGAGATTTCCAGTTCATCCAGTAGAAGATCCAAGAATGTGATCTATCTCATTTTGACCGTACAAACCTTGTCCCTAATCCAATAACCCAACTTAGACTCTGTAAATTCTGAAATAATGTGACCAATGGATCGAGAATTATAGGCGCTCTAGAAACGATCTCGCACCAAGGGTCTAGATACCTGCCTCTCATTTTAGCGTTGACTCAAGAACCTGCCTCATGGGGCTGCTCGAAATGAAATTGGCATATATTCCTGCCATCAGCAATGTCCTAAATAGATGAATAACTGTAAAATATTTGCTTTTACAGCACTATTTCTTTCTTTTTGCCATTGTTTTCTGTCTTGCCTTCTTAAACAAAGACTTTTTTATTGTGTTTGCACTCAAAAAATCAAAAACAATTCGCAAAAAGTTCTTAAATCCGCTTAGCAAATAATTGTGTTGTCTTTTTGTGATGTATGTTAGCATCACCTTTGAAATTCATTAAGGCTCTGTGGCCGAGCGGTCTAAGGCGGCAGACTCAAGTTCTGTTATCGTAAGATGCGCGTGTTCGAATCACGCCGGAGTCATTATTTTTATTTTTTGCCGAGATGTCTATCTTATCTTTTTTTTTTCGTGGCGATTTCGCCGCACGCGAAGCCTGGCAATATCTTTGGAGACGGTGAACGATGGCTATGTGTTGTATGAAGGTAGTTGTTTCGGCGGAATCTGGAATTTGGAGTAAGCGGCTGATTGTGTACGAAGCTCTCTTCTGATATCGATCAAGTAGCCAGTGGTAATAAATAAAAGAAACCATCGTCTGCTATTCACACTGACCAAATTCAAGTTTATTGCACAGCTTCCCATGAAAAGTACAACGTACTGCATATATATACCTCGTGGATATTAACTTCTCCAAGAAACTGGCACCCCCAGCGAAATTCTTCTGAGACTGCTTGGATACTCTCTTTTAAATAAATATGGCGAGAAGAAAAAACGCCACGATAGAGAAAACGGCATCTTCCCGCTCGCAGGCGGCGCTTTTCAACGATATGTCTACTGATCAGCTCTTGGAATCTCCCGAAGCTGACAAGACGGGCACTTCGGATATGCCCGGTGCAGAAGTGGACGATTCGGCCCAAACGGCAAAGTTCCCACTCAATATTATCTATGAGTTTCAGGATTTGTTGAATAACCACTTGACCGTACTGAAGGGTGCTCAGACTATGGTGTGCTTGTACTTGTGCCAGATATTTTACATTCATTTGCACAAGCAGAGTGGCATGGAAGTCATTTCGGCCGTGGGATTCAATGTTTTGAGTGCCATAGTTGCCATGTACTTGAGCCACAGGTCGTTGTTAAGAAAGTACGAGGCGTCGCCAGAAACAGCAATGTACCCCGAATTGCCATCTTTCAATTCGCTCTATGCATTCTTTATTCCGTACTCCTTTGTGGTCTTGTTGTCAGACCCATCAGACCCATTTTTCCAGGTAAACCTATCCTTGACTAACTTCTCGTTGAAAAATTTGCACCCGGTGGCGAAGGTATTGTCTGCATTCGTGTACAACTTCATGTTTGGAGACTCAAAGACCTTGGACATCATCCAATTCGGGCAAGTTGTGTGGATATATTTGCTGGTTGATTATGCCTTGACCATGTGGAACGAGGAATGTGTCAGCGGCGATGATGACAAGACCCATGTGCGCCGTACATTGGATGCTACCGAAATTCATCTTATTGGGATTTTCATGGTCAACTTGCTCGCAAATTATAAAGTGCATGCCACTAGTTCTAACTTGCCGATGGTCATTACCCGAGTTTTGACTATCGCCTTGATTGGTACTCTTGCTATCTCCGCTCCATTGTATTATGGATACCTGATGTTGGAAAAAGGTGTGGTCCGTTCAGTCTCTTCGCTCGCTGTGGTTTCCGTCTCTGGTGCAACGTTTTACTTCCTCACAAATTACACGTTTCAGCTTTTTGTTGCGGAGCAAGAAGTTCTTCATTGGTTGTTTGACTTCATTACAAGCTCGAAATTACGTCTTCAGCTACTCCAAGGATGGTTGCTTGCCTTTGGCGTAACAGTGCCTGTGGTGTTTTTCTTGGCCGCCAGAGACATCATTTCTCTCAACCTTAGAAGAAAGTTATGGCACTTTGCCCTTGTGCCTGCTTTGGCTTATCCCGCTCTTGTGGCAGAACCGACGTTCTCTGCGATTGCCGTCTTGGGCTCGGTGTTTATTTTTGTGGCTATCGAGTGCCTTAGGTGCACACGCATTACTTTCTTGGGTGACTTCCTCTACCATCTGCTTCGGTTGTTCCAAGACGAGAAGGATTTGAAGGGTCCTTTCAATTTATCGTACATCTTCTTGCTTGTCGGACTTGCTACTCCCATCGCATATGGTGCGATCATTGACGACGTGGTATCCATGAGGTCATATCTTGGCTTGGTTGCTTTGGGCTTGGGCGACTCTTTTGCGTCTATTGTTGGTAAGCGTTTCGGAAAATATAACTGGAAAGGTGAGTCCAGAACCGTCGAGGGCACAATTGCTTACATTGTGGTGAGTTTCTTCAGTTTTGTCTTCATCGACTACTATCTCTTGCCCGAGAGTGCTCGTGTTCAAAACTGGGAAAATATTGTCATCGTGTCTCTAGTCGGCGGTCTTATTGAAGGCTCGGCGTCTTTGAACGACAATATTTTGATTCCTTGCATGACTTTAATTGCATACGAACTACTCAACAAGGTTTTTTGAAATGACGTCCAGCATTATTTAGGGACCGATGCCTCGATTGTGACTAGACTATTATATGCAGACATTCAGAACTAAAAAGACGTCAACTGAAATGAAACATAAATCAGATGATAAAAATAGGGGTAGCGACTCCAAAATCGTCACGCAGAGTGCTTGGTTTGTGATCAGTTACATAAGCATCGCTTGCAAGCATTTGTTTCGCTAGCGGCATATCTACTTTTTCTTTCGAACCGACGGATGAATTCATGTTATTACTCATGTCTTCTTGAGCCGGTGGGAGAAATGAGTCAACAAATGTAGATTCACATTGAGGGATAGCGACTCTGGGATGGTGGGATGTTGTAGGAAAGTTCAAATCGGCTCGAGGTTGGGGCTGGTCGAAATAATCAGATGACGGTGAGAGCCAGAAGCGGGGTGGTTTGGTGTATTGTGCCCGTGAGTTTACTTTGAACGTGAGCATATGGACAAGATGATCCCCCAATTCTGAAATTTCATTTGAATGAGCGAGCTTCTTTCCATGTTCAATCTTGCTTTTAAATCTGAGGGTTGCCGTGTGTCTTACGGGGGTTTTGCCAAATAAATCTATTTCGCATGTACCGCAATGGTTTGGGTCTGGGTAGTCAGAATCGCCGTAGTCAGAATCGCTATCAAACACCAAGACATCTTCATGATCTTCCAGATAAAGCTGGTCAAAGTACCGGTAATCAAAAATGTCGGAAGGGCGAGCATATGACAGCAGGATAGAAGACGTCGATCTGGAGGCTCCAATATTTGAGTGGTAATATGGCTCCCGAGAAAGTCTGCGAAGAGTACTCCGAGCCAGTGGGGGCTGGGTATTTACCTCGAGGAAAGATTCTGCCGATGACGAGATCTTGAAATGGTGCGCCGAGAGAATAAAACGAGGGTATTTATTTATGTCGTCATCTAGGAAAGGCTCTTTTGGAATCATCTACTGAAGGGTGAGATATAAAGAGTATGGCAGAGGCCCGCGTGGCTATCTATATTCGATACGCGCGCGAGCCCATGCCGAACAACTGATAAGCAGGGTGCAAGAAAGCGGCGCCACGAATCTCTCGAACAAGGCAGAACTAAATATTCGCAAGAGAGCTATTGGAATACAAACATCTAATCAGTGTTTGGCTGAAAAAACCAGAATGTATACCGGACCAGCTAAATATTTTCTTTTGCAACTGTCTGGGATCAACACAATATTACCATACCTTGGAAAGACTAAGTTTGAAAGCTTGATTTTGTTACATATGATATTGAGTATATAAATAAGTCAAGAGGATGAAAACGAGCTTATTTGTTAATGCGTCTTTCTTGCCAAGCAACTGAGCTCTGGCAGATTCCCAGAAAGACTGTCTTTGAGGACCATCGGACTTGATTGAAGACGTCGAAAAAGTCCGATGTCGGAAAATAAATCCCAACATGAGACTAAAGCGAGGTTTGTATGCTGCTGAGTATCCATGACCTCACGCGGGGGCAAAAATTTTGGAGGTAGCTTATAATAAATTCTGAGGCATGTATGCAGAGTAGGTATACTCACATGCAGTGATATCTGTTTTAAGGCGTTCGATCTTTTCCCACATCCACAGTGCACTTGGCTGAATGAGATCAAAATAATACACAGAAGCGACATTGCAAATACTGCTCAAGAAATCATAGACCTCTTTGTCGATGAGAGTACAAAAATGAACCAACCAAACATTTGGTCGAAAAGACCAGAAGACCAGCACTATAACCCTCAGGGTTGACATCATGGTGGTCCATTTCCTAAAACCCTAAATCAGCTTGGGTGGCCAATTTGCACCTGAGCAAATCTGGAAAACGTCTTGTTCACATTTTTTTTTTTTCTTGTAAGTCCCCCGCAACGAAACAGCCCAAAGAGCACATACGATACGTAGATTGCCCTAGAACATATGCTTACTTGAGAGTAGTTGAAGTGATGAAGCCTAATTCGATATTAGGCCCAGAATAATTCTCTCTTCTGGGCCTGGTGTTCCCCGCCCTGGATTACCGTTTTTGATCTGGCGAGAATGCCCCATATCGGGTTGTATGGAGGGATTTCTTATCAAGGTGCCTGGTCGCGCAATCCCCACAGTCCCCCGATATCTGGGAAATTATTCGCACATTTTAAAATACCTCCACCAGGCATTATCTAATCAGATTCTTCTCTGACTCTTTATCTTTTGCTAAGGACTCGAAGCTCCGAGCCCACTTACGGTTTCCAGCCAGTCTAGGTAAATCTCATTGAATATTTTTCTCGGCACTATCAAGGCAAGGCATACAAGGACGGACCAGTCCTTATCAGCAATCTTATCGCTCCAGCCCATCTTTTGACACAGAAATCCGATAAGGACGTTTCGCAATAGTGGTGATAGTCTCTTTAATTGGAGCTAGCTATAATCATCGCAACAGAAAGTGAGCATCAAAATTAGAACGAAAAACAGCTCTGCACCAGTATTCTGCCCGACGTATATACTCTCTCTTCTACTCCGAGATGGCAATGCTCCTGTCTTTCCGAGCTTCGGAACAAACAACCTCTTCATCTGTCCGGACTTCCAAAACCCGACGCTCATCAGCATCTCGGTCGTCTCTGCGTTTTTCTAAAGGAATCGAAGTCTTTGACCTATCTACGCTTCTGAACGATTTGCCCCCAAACACTGGACCGCTGGGAAACGTGAGTACACACTCCACAGCCAATAAGAATTTGAGTCATGTTCCCTGCAAGTTTTTTAAACAGGGGATATGCCAGGCGGGGAAGTCATGCCCATTCAGCCACAACGTGGACGGCACGCTGTCGGCCGACAAGCTTCCATGCAAGTACTTTCAGAAGGGCAACTGTAAGTTTGGGATGAAATGCGCCTTGGCTCACATCTCGCCGGACGGTACCAGAATAAACCCAAAAAGCACGCTTTCCTTTCGCCGGCCCAGCGAGCGCTATGACTGCAATAGTGGGCCCAGCAAGCACAACTCAATACACACATTTCAGCCGTCAAGCAACGGAAAAAGTCTGGGCTTGTTAACGCAAGTCTTGGACGAGAAGGATATGGAGTCCGAGGAGTATGCCTTTGCGATGAGCCCACCAAATTTCATCTCGCTAAGCACGTCCGCCTTGTTGAGAGATTCAAACTACTTCAACGCAGATGCAATTGGCATTCACAGTACGCAAGAAACAGCCCAGGTGCTTACAAACAGCGACTGGCTGTACAACTATGATAGCAAAAGCCTGCGGCGGGGAAGCGACATTCCTGTTTGCGGCAGCATGAGCTCCTCGCATACACTATTGACGTGCAACATGCCCATAGCAACAAGCGAGTCCATAACCCCTGGTGCTCCATATCATTCGCCCTCTCAAAACAGAAGTTCGGGTAGAAGAGATTCTTTGAGCCAGCATTGGAGCTCGTCGACATCACCTTTGTTTGACATGAGTTTGCATTCACAAGGCGACTTTGCTATAGTAGACGATGACGATGACGCAGTTTCTGAAGATACATATTACGAGGACTATATCCCCGCCTCTTTGGGAAACCTTATCTTCACGCCGCAAGAGAAAAAACGGCGAGACTCCAGATCGCAGTCGGGGACATTGCTAGAGCGCCCGGACATTTACCTGGACTCGCTGGTCGAGACTGGTTTGTAGATACACTCACAGGGAATCAATCCGATGAACATTGGTGTGCTAGCTGGACTAGAACACGCGACCGGTGGGACGGAAAAATAGACACAAACTTCAAAATGTTAGGATGGCAGTTCATTGCTGTGCTCTTCAAGAACGAATGCCAAAGATCTGGATCGCAGAAGAGGGCTTGATGCGGTTAGGGACAGCTAAAATAAATAGACAAGACTATAGATTGACTTTCCAAAGGCAGGCAGAGATTGTAAGTGGGATGGGTTGGATCAGACAGGTGATGCAATGACCGCTGCTACCTTGATTGAGGTTTCCCGGAACATGCATTGCGATGGCCAAGTCTCAAAAGCACATTTGCGTGCAATGACAGGAGCAGGAGGCTTATCATATTGAGCGGAGACTTTCGGCATCATACGGGACTAGGTATTTTCCAGAAGCTTTAGGCATTAGCAGGCGCATAGAGAATGAAACCCAGCCAGAGTTTGTATTGGCTAAGATACGCTAGGAAAGTAGGAGGGCGCAAAGTCAGAGAGCAGGTCGCGGGACTATTCAGACAGAACACAGCCACACAAACGCTACTACATGTCCAGGAAGTTCCTGCCTACAGGGTGCCGGGGCAGCTCGAATACACAAGGGCAGCTTGGATGCGGGTCTATTTACAGTTGTTTCGCGGGCGGGGCGCGGTAGATATCGGCACACTCCCTCAAGTGGTGCTCGAGCGCCTTGATGTCGTTCATGTCCATCTGCGGCTTCAAGCCTCTGCGGTGGTCACTGTCGAATATGGTGCCCACAAACACCAACTCGTTCGTGTACGGGTTCATGGTCAAGACGATGTTGTCAGACACGGTTTTCTCCGTGCGCGTGGGCTCTGGCGACGCGTCGCCCGACACTATCATCTCCTGCTTGGTCACCACCTGCACCACGAACTGCACCAACGAGGTGACGTCGTTGGCGTCGGGGATGGGCACAAACACCACCAACTTGGGGTTCTTTTCGACGCTGAGCAAGTTCCACTTCAACTTCAGCCCGATAGGGAACGTGCGCACACGCGCCGTCAAGGACTTGATCACCTCGGAGCCGGCAATGCCATCCAACTGCGTCTGCACATAGGACTGTCTCTGGTTGATGGGCAACGAGCAGGCCGCGGCGAAGATCTTGTTTGTCTTGACGTACTTGTCCACGGCGAGCTCCTTCCAGTCGTTGAACCGGAGCTTCAACTTGGTGTCGTTCTTGAACCGCGAGATGGAGTAGGTGTTGAGGCCAAAGAGCCCGATGCGCTTGAAAAGCAACCGGGGCCACACCCGCACGGGCGCCTGCGAGTACTTTGGCGGCACGTAGTAATCACTGACCACACCGATGGCTTTGATGGGCATGGTGGTCATGGCGGCGCCCTTCTCCTTGGCTTTTTTGGCCGCTTGTTTGCCGGAGTCTTCCGTGGCATAGTGCCTGCGCAAGCCGACGGATGTGAGGCCGGCTGGCGCGGCCTGGATTTGGGCCCAGGGCCTGGCCGCGGCCCCGGAGGCCATGTGGGGGCCGGCCCGCACTCTCGCGATCATGCTCATCATGTTTGTGTGGAGCTGGCAGTTGCGTGTGGTGGAGGTTTCTAGGGCCAGGCCAGCTGATGGTTGGACTTTGGGTGCGAAAATTTGAGCCGGCCCTGCAGACATTGGGGCCGCGCATGGGCAGTGGACCTGGTGGATGCGCCAAACCGAAGGGCATCTATTAGTGGTGCTAGATGCTGGCAGACGGGTGTCTCTGGTCTCATGCTATTTTCTAGATCGGGATGGTGTAATTGTTTTCGAATTCTGGGCTGTGGGGAACCTGCTTTCGATGTGTGGACATCAAACCTCCTCTGTCACGCCCCTACTGTTAGCTAATACAGTGCCTCCAGTCATATGATACTTACGGAAAGAGAGATCCTGGAGGTTTTAGCAGCAACAGTCACATTTATTCTTTAGGCCCTTGCTGGGTCAGACTAATTGTGTTCTAGCGGGGGACTTCTATGAGATGAATTTCCAATCAAAGGACATTCGTCAGCTGTCCTGGCTGGGCCAATACGAGTGTCTCAAAAGTCAACTCAGTATCTGAATTAGACATCATTCAAATTTCAGGAGGAAGCTCTTCAGCGAACTGATTCAAAACCAGCGCAAGACCTAATGACACTATTACGCGTGTGTCTGCTTACCACGCCCGGCTCCCGAAACAATCGATGGACATTGGAAGTGGCGTTTGTTACGGTGTCTACTGTCCTCGCGAACAGGTCAGCGATATGGGCGCCTACACTCACAAAGCCAGGCATCGTTTATTTTTCAATCTGATATTTGTTTCAAGATTGGCGCTTCATAAAACACTTTAGGGATCCGTCAGCTTGCAAAAGAATGATCTGATGCTTTGATTGTACGACACTGCAATTCCGTCCACAACCCACGTCTTCGCCTGAGCAGTCCAAGTATGCAGACATTCAGGCTCTGGAGTATTAAGTTTTCTTCAGTCGTCGATATTGAGACCGAGCTTGGGGGTTTCAATTGCTAACACATTGTACATACACCAAGGGTAGTGACTGTTCCGAAGTGCGCCGCCATGTTTCAAGGGAGTTAAATTGTGCAACCCCAGGACTAAGTCCAATCTAGGTATGTTATTTGAAGTCTGTGTGTAGTGCATGTTCATGAGACCTTCGAAAATAGCATAAATGAAGTATGCCAGAATGTTTACAATGAAGTAGTTAGTTCTGCCCCTTATTCATCTGGGATAAACAGATTCGACTATTCTCACAAAATATTCGGAAAGTCTAATGCTTCCGCTCCTTTTCGAACTCGAATTAGGATATCCTCTAGATGGTGACATAGACTCTTTCCTGGTCAGATATTTCGACGAGCTACTTGGTATTAGACTATACCACGCATCAATACAGAAGCATTCATCAAAAAAAAAAAGTCCTCAGGATAATGAACACACTTTTGATAAAATCCAAACACTTAGCCAAAGTCAATACCTATTTTGCAAATCTGCTCCTAAAACGTCGCTGATAGAGATAGTCTTCATCTAACTACAGGTACCATGGGCCCCCACAGACGAATGTTATCACATTTTAAATGTGGTGATCTGATAAAGGCACTCGTGGCCGTCCTCGGCTACTAGGTATGTAAGCCTTACCTTCTGTTCACCACTAAGTATTAAGCAAACTCCAAGCTCGGAGAAAAACCTAGTACAAACACTCATGAAATCATTGTCGAGTTTGATAGATAGGGGTGAAGTAAATGGTGGTCAAGCCCGAGAAATCAGATACATATTCGACGCAATAGAGGAGTTGCCTAAGAATAAGACTCAACAAATCTGGGAAATCTTTCAGGAGCAAGCCAGAATATTACCACATTATAGTCCTCTTTTGTAAAGGTAAACTTTTGGCAGGTTTGAAGTAACTTTACCGGGAATTCCAAAGAAGCGCTCCATTGATACGATAAAAATCTTGTCTTAGTCTAGCTGATTCTTGAGTATCTAGATGATAGCTGTGACATCATTACTCAAAGTTTTATGAGACCTTTCTATTATTAACAGCGTTTTTCACCATTACTAAACGTTTGGAACTAAGAGCCTCCCCTCTTTTGAATATTCTCTGGAGGTATGCATACAAAGGTTGGCCTACACTACTTCAATAACGAAAAAGATAAAGCGTTTGAGCAAGTTAAAAAGAAAATATTCTAAAGACAAATCTTGGAAAATTAATGTGATAAACTAGATAAAAGGGGCGACTTCGAGCACGGTGTAGCCTCCGCCAAGAAACCTTCCTGGGAATCAGGCAAAAAAAAAAAGGATTGCAAAAATTTTGAGTGTCAATCTAAAGAGTTTTGCCCACACTGCTTCAAGATGCATTGACTCGCTGTCTGCTCAGGCATCAGCAAAAATACGCGTGTTACACAGCAACGTATCTCATTCCGAGTGTTGTCATAAAAATTTGCTTTATAGTTTTTGTAGGCTTTTGCAGTATCACTCGGAATCAACAGTTGCTAGTAGAAGTGGAACCTATGCAAACACAGCCATAAACTCGAAGCATTTGTGGCCGCAACTAGAGACGAACTAAGATAAACTACAAAACTGAATTTTGCCATATCACGCTCACCGTTGTCAATAAATTAGGTGCTCGACAACCCTACATATTAAAATATCATAATTCAAAATTGAGTTGAAGCGTAGAGATTTTCAAAAAAAGTTGACCTCTTACGAAAAAAAAATAAATAGCTTTCAAGGTATAAATTTACGGCTTCTACCCCATGCAGCAACTTATCATTATTGTTAAATGTCATTTTGTTGGCTAGCCTCTCCTGGGCTTTGGATTTTATATAGCTCTGTCCATTGTGAAAACACAAACATTCACTACCAGGCCTAATTTGCTGCTCAAAGAAGTAAGGACAGTGTATGGCGCCTTTTGAACAACTAGTTGTTTTTAAAAAACAACACTTTTATCTGGAATATTTTTCGTGTGAAACGTAGAAAAAGACAAACATCAAGACAGTTTCCTAAAGCCGGACTTTTGAAGCTGATACATTTCGAATAAACTTGTTCTTTTGAAAGCCTGTTAACCGAAGATATAGCTTTCACTAAGTGAGCAATATATTTCATCTCCTTTTTTTTTACCTCTGTTTTTATTTCCACCATGTCTACAACAAAGAAGCCTCCTTGATATACAAAGCGACAACAATTATTTCAACCATTAGTATCTAAGCCCAGAAATCACCGAAGGTCTCTTTATCTGTTATTTATGTTGGAGACCAAATTTCATTTAAATTCGCATGTAGCGAAGACGGTATTGAGCGATGTAAACCCAAAAAATATTCGGAGAAGGTCTTTCACTTAATTTTGAGTGTCGAAAAACAGATAACAGCTTGAATTAGAATTTCTGTAGACATGGAAATTCCGCACAATTTCGTGAATACAGGCGCACAGGCGCGGCTGCAAAATACAAAAGGGGTACGGGTCTTCATCCCTGTTGTCCTTACAGCGAAGTTGTGATCTTTATTTATCGCCAGATATGCAGAAGATACCACTAAGATTTTTTGTCCGCCCGTCATTCTTTAGTAGTAAAACACTGCTGTCAAGACTTTAAACTGCTGTCAGCCCTTCTTTACTTCCACGAACCTTTCCTTATGGTTGTAGGTTGTCTCAGCAAAAGAATCCAAGAACAAAGTTTGATTGTCCAAAGCTAGTAAAAGAAGCCGCTGATCAGGGTTCAAATCCATTCGCTTACACAGCAAAGTATTTCTTACCTTCTATCCAGGTAAAACTCTGCAGGTCTAAGTCATCAACTCAAGAGGTATTTCAAATTATGATTCTCCTGTCATAAGCAGACATGACATGGTTTGTGACAGCGAAGCTTCTTTCTCAATCAATTGTGGTGGTTCTGAAAGCACGTAATAATCTACCTAAAATAATTATCGGAAAATTTAGTGTTGGAAATCCAATAACAAATCCACAGGAGATGTTGTTCGATTGGCGGAACAATCAACGCGCCCACAAATCTCGTTGATTGGAGGCATGAAACGCGAGGCTCAGATTGCCAAAGAAAATTATGCAGGGAAAAAGAAAGAAAACAAACGAAAGAAACGAAAGAAACGAAGAGTCGGATATTCGACGAGTCCAAAACCCTTATGGGCTGCTTAGAATATGAGAGGAAGCGAGGGCCCAACGGTACCCGATTTTCTCACGTCAGTCAGGTCAAAAATCAAGCCCCATGCCGCGCTTTATTTCGCAGGCCCTGGGTCATTATACCTGGACCGGGTACTGCAATACTACCCTCTGGTGACATATTCAGGTCTCCGTTATGAAGACCGATGCATCGGGAATTTCACAGCATCTTCAATATTTTCAAAAGAGAGAAAATCGGCCCGTGGGACAGAACAGAGGCGGAGGCAGTGGGTCACGTGACCGGTTCTGGCTCGCATTCGTCGGGGCCCAGCCAGTGCGCCCGTCATCTCACCATCACTGTCCCACTAGGCACTCCAAAGTCGCACCTTGAAAGCGCAGCTTGAAACCGCATCTCAAAATCGGACCTCAGACTCGCACGCAGCATCGCATCTCGCACCCTCTTCAGGACTTTTCTTTGCCCCACCACTCCGCCCAAAATGGCCCCCGGCAAGAAACTAGCGCCCGAAAAAGAACGCTTCCTTCTGTGCTGCAGCGACATCTCGCTCGAGCTTGTGGCGTCGCTCAGCAATGCTCGCGATATCAACCTCAATGGGCTCATCACGCGGCACGCCAAAAAGCACCGCTTGAAGAATCAGCCGCGGCTCACAGACATCATCCTGGCGATCCCGGACCAGCATAAAAAATACTTGATTCCGAAACTCAAAGCCAAGCCTGTGCGCACGGCGTCCGGAATTGCCGTGGTCGCCGTCATGTGCAAGCCCCACCGCTGCCCTCACATTGCCTACACCGGCAACATCTGCGTGTACTGTCCCGGAGGCCCGGACTCGGATTTCGAGTACTCCACCCAGTCATACACGGGCTACGAGCCCACATCCATGCGTGCCATTCGCGCTCGCTACGATCCCTACGAGCAAGCACGGGGCCGTGTGGACCAGCTCCGCCTGTTGGGCCACTCCATCGACAAGGTGGAGTACATTGTGATGGGCGGTACCTTCATGTCGTTGCCCGTGGACTACCGTGAGACATTTATCGCGCAGCTTCACAACGCGTTGTCCGGCTACACGGGCCGCGACCTCGACGAGGCCATCCGCTACTCACAGCAGGCACAGACTAAGTGCGTGGGTATCACCATCGAAACACGGCCAGACTACTGCACGGAGACCCACTTGAGCGATATGTTACGGTACGGCTGCACACGTTTGGAGGTGGGTGTGCAGTCTGTGTACGAGGACGTGGCACGTGACACCAACAGAGGACACACAGTCAAGGCCGTGTGCGAGACGTTCGCCGTAGCAAAGGACGCGGGCTACAAGGTGGTCAGTCACATGATGCCGGACTTGCCCAACGTGGGCATGGAGCGTGATCTCCAGCAGTTTGTCGAGTATTTCGAAAACCCGGCATTCCGCACAGACGGGCTCAAGATCTATCCGACCTTGGTCATCCGCGGCACAGGCTTGTACGAGCTTTGGAAACAGGGCCTCTACAAGTCGTACTCCGCCAACGCGTTGATCGACTTGGTAGCGCGCATCATGGCGCTCGTGCCACCTTGGACCCGCATTTATCGCGTGCAGCGTGACATCCCCATGCCCTTGGTGTCGTCGGGCGTGGAGAACGGTAACCTTCGTGAGTTGGCCTTGGCCCGCATGAAAGATTTCGGCACTCTGTGCCGTGATGTCCGCACGCGCGAGGTGGGAATCCAGGAGGTCCATCACAAAGTTTCCCCGGACCAGGTAGAGTTGATCCGCAGGGACTACTATGCCAATGGTGGCTGGGAGACCTTTTTGTCGTACGAGGACCCGAAGCAGGACATCTTGATTGGCCTCTTACGTTTGCGCAAGGCCCTGAAAAAGCACACCTTCCGCCGCGAGTTCACAGCGCAGCCCACATCCATTGTCCGTGAGCTCCACGTGTATGGTTCTGTGGTGCCTTTACATTCACGAGACCCGCGCAAATTCCAGCATCAGGGCTTTGGTACCTTGCTTATGGAAGAGGCTGAGCGCATTGCGCGTGAGGAGCACGGCACGAGCAAGATCTCCGTTATCTCGGGCGTGGGTGTGCGGAACTACTACGCCAAGTTAGGCTACCATTTGGATGGGCCGTACATGTCCAAGATGCTCGACTAGAGTATACGCTCTGGGCTGCATCAGGATTTGGTATGGCTCGATGAGGGTGAGTGTGGGATCTGTAGGCGTCTGGAAAATGGTCCTATGGGGTTGAGAGAAACTTGCTAAAACTGTAATATAATTTCACATTTGTACATATTCAGCCGAGACTGCTTGAGCTGAACCGAATGGGATGTTGAAATGGGAATACAGTAGACATTGACATGGTCTGATAGGGCTGAAGTGCGACGTGAACCTGGGAGTGTAATGCGATTATGAATACAGTGTTTGTCGCTCGAATGGGAATTCAAACGGAAGGACTGTTGTCGAATATACAAAGCTGCTTGAACTGAAACAAAATCTAATATTAAAACTATAATACAAATATACTTAGAGATGCTGGGAATAATGTGAACAGGGCCAACCTTGCGTAGAAATATTGCTTGGGGAATAGTAAGCCAATCGCGCGTAGAAGGCTTTCTTGTAGAATGCAATTAGTATGGGGGAGAGAACGCGTGTGCACTCACTGATGAGCAAAATACTGGCGATGGTTGTGTCTGCTACCCTGGTTGGGATGGCCACCTTCTCTGGACCATCCTGGAATGTCTTCGCCAGAGCCGCCAACCGGCCGCTCGAGCACTACGTTTTCGAGTCCCAACGCATCGCTGAGCCAGGGATGGTTGATCATACCACCGGCGTCAGCCCTCATTTCGGGCTGCAATGTCAACATTGGCAGAAGAAAGTCAGCAATCTCCACGGCATCGCTCACAGGAAACTTATACTTTTCAATCAACACGTTCTTCAAGCCCCATGGCTTTAACTTGGAGATACGGTGAAGCTCGCCTTTATGGTTGAAGAATTCACGGGTGTTGAAACCCTCTTTCAACATTGTCCGAGGAAAGTATCCAATCAACTCGATGATCTGCGCGATGTGGTCGTCGTCCTTGGTGTACGATTTGCCATTCCTAGGGTCGAAAAGATAGTCTCCTGTCAATAACTCGAATATCAAACATGCGAAAGACCATAAGTCCGCCGAGGCACCCCAGTGGTAGCCAAGGAGAACTTCTGGGGACCTGTACTGCCGAGTTTGGATCTCGTCCGTGAAATGATGATGAACCCAGCATGCATTTCCCAAATCAGCAATTTTCACTGAAATCAATTCATCCTCGTTAATGACTGTATGCTCGTTACATGGTTTGCCGTTTGATTCTCCGAAAAATGTTCCAGGGTTGTTTCCATTGTGAGAAATTGACATCGAGTTGAGGGAGTTGTTCAAGCTTTTCTCATTGGTCTCGGATTCTTCATTCTCTGAGTTGTTAACAAAAGATCCGTGGCTATGCATATGCTTGATTGAAGAGCCTTGAGCACTCGGGATACCCGTGGTCTGTGCGAGTCCCATTGATGCCTCATGGGTTTCATTCACCTTAAACGAGGATCCTTCCATGATGTAAGGGGACTGGCCCAAAATAGGCTTCACGGGTGTGTTGCTGGTGGTAGCTGCTATGCCTTGAACATTAGCAAAAGCCTTGCTGAAGGACCTCAAAGGCGAGGGCAATGGCTGGGATCCAGTAATGAGGGTCTGCCTGCGCAGACCTCTTCCGTTTCTTCCCAAATTAGGGGACTTTGGCATTTCGGAAATAGACTTCACTCTCTGGAACGGAGTGTTTACCTGGGGGCTGGTAGGGGTGTCAGAGCCAGCACTGGAAAGAACATTGGTTCTCGACTTTGTGCGCAGTAACTTTCGTTGGAGTTTCACTTGGTTTTCCTCTTCTTCGACCATTTTGACGATCTGCTCCACGTCACCTATTTCAATAAGCACATTTTCGGGCTTGAGATCAGTGTGTATGACACCGCACATTCTATGCAAAAAGTCTAAGCAAGCCAAGAGTTGCTTAGCGATCTGCTTCACAAAAACCACAGGAATACCACGGTGTTTGTACCGGCGAATAAGGCCAAGTAGGTTCTCTCCCAAGACCTCGAAAACCATGCAGACATGGACACCGTTCGGGCCCTGGTGGGTGAACGTGTCGAGGAGCTGGATCACGTGCTGATGGCCCGGATGGCGCAATTCTGCAGTGGTGACCTTATCCAAAAGCTTGATCTCATCGATGGCCGTGTCGGTGTAGTGCTTCGCACTGCGCACGATTTTCATGGCCACGTGGCACTGCTTATCGTTGTCCCTGGCCAACCACACCGTCGAAAAATGGCCCCATCCGAGCTTACGAACCAACGTGTACTTGTTGTTCTTGTACGTTTCTCCAATGAAGCACGTGTGGTACCCGCCAGGCACGTAGTCCTTGAGATCTTCCTCGTTCTCGGGGTTTACATTGGAGTAGTCATCGTCGTCGTCATCGTCGTCGTCGTCGCCATCTTCGTGGTTCTCACTGAGATCAAGGTCGTGCGTGTCACCTTGGAGACTTGAGTCTCCAGTTGAATCCTGGGGGGCCCCGTTTTCGGGCACATGACCCAAGTCTTTGCTGGACGTGGAACCTGGTTCCTTGCGCTTGTAGTCCACGGTTTCCAGACTATATTCAGAGTCCTCGAGCGTGCTGTGCCGCTCAAGGAAGCTCCCTTGATTCATGTGTGAGTACAGCTCTGCGAGCCGGTCTTTTAAGGATGCCAAGTGGGGTTCCGACTGCTCATCAAAAGTGGTCGTTATTGGGGCCAAGTCGGGCCGGAAAGACTTGACCAGCGGCGACAGAGTGGCTGTCGACGCCAGCCCGGCCAAAGGGAGAAATCCTATTCCCAGCACATCGCCCTGATTAATGCTGTTGTGGCGCACGGGCGGCTTTTCAGCTTTATACGTGAAGTGCGTTTGGGGCTGGCTTTCTTGGTTGGCATCGGCTTTTTGGATCGCTATCGACAAGTTGGACTTTTTGGAAAGTGGCATTAGACTTTCGAGAAGAGGGTTCTGAATCAACGCCTTTTCAGCTAGGGTCTCTCTATGGGCTCTGGCCTATGTGTTTGTGTGAAGTCGCAGGGAAGGATATTTGCGGTTTCACTTGGCTCTTAAATCACCCGAAAAAGACACGGGAGTTAGATTGGTGATTTCTTGGTGCTTTGAAACCTAACACAAGAGGGCTTTTGAGGTCGTAGCCTTGTGTTCGAGGAGGGCACTGAATCTAGGGAAGTGTTTTTTCGTGACTTTCTCGATTTCTCAACTTGGCCTTTTTTCTGCTTCTCTTCACCTCGGGTAGCTTTGCTGATGACCGGGGCTGATTGACCGCTGTTTTGATGACACACTCCTTGGGCGAGAAGAGCTGTTGAGATTCACACAGGTCTGAGTGAATGAGCTGTGTGCACGGGTTCGGGAAAAGAGGTTCTCTTTTTTTTCCTTTTTGCGTAGAGATTTCTGAGTACTAGTTAGAGCGGTCGCTGAGTGTCGGGCCGAACGGGGTCACGTGACAATCGTCTGAGGTTGAAGTGGTGTTCTGACTGGATTTTCTGGTGAGTTCAGAGACGGAAGTATTCAGGTTGTGTTGGGAAAATTTTGGGGCTTGCTTTAGGAAAAGAAAAGCGGATATTATCCTGGGAAGAGTTCACCACTCAACCCCACGAATTTGTTTCAGCACGTCCTTCTTAAATTTGCCCTGTAGGTCTCTTTGTTCTGCTGTATATGGAAATTTGAGCGCTCAAGCGCGGATGGTGCAGCACTTAAATCGGCTTTAGTCACTCATTTTTACTCTGATGTGATGCAGTGATTTGTTCTGTTCGCATCGCCATCGAAAATACACGAAACACGGCCAAAAACTTGTTGATGATCTCTCAGCGTTCGCTCGTCTCGCCAGTCGCGCCTGCGTTGGACACTGTGCTACGCTCATCCGTCCATTTTCACATATAATTTATTGCTATGTAAACCATTCAATTGACAAATGCTGTGCGCCAATCACCCAGTATTGAGGCCAAGCATAACAATCTGCTTAGTCAAGCTCCATTTCCTCGGCCTCAGCCTTTGGAGCCTGCTCAGCACCACCCTTCGAAGCCTCTCTGGCAGCAGCCATCTTCTCGGCCATGGCAGCCATCTGGGAAGCTTCCTGCTTCTGTCTGATCGCTTGCTTCTTCTCCTCTTGGTCAGCCAAGTAACGGCCCTTGATCAAGTTACCGGTGGAAGCCAACTCCTCGTACTTGGCGATGTATTTGGCCTTGGTCGAGTCGTAACCGTCCTCGTACAACCAGTCGGCGGTCTTGGTCAACATGGCGTTCAACTTCTCTTTCTCGGCGTCGGAAGCAAAGTTCTTGTATTGCTCCTCCAATTTGCCTCTCAACTCGTAGATGTACTCCTCCAAAGCGTTCTTTCTGTCCTCGGTGTCCGCAACCAACTTGTCAGCGACAGTCATGGCGCTCTCCTTCTCGAAAAGGGCGTTTCTTTGCTCATCGTTCAAGGCAGAAGAGAACATCTCGATCTTCAAGTCGTCCTTCTTGACCAACTTCTTGACCTCCTTGTACTCAGGCTCGGCGTCGGCCTCCTCGCCCTCCTTCTCGACCAATTCCTTCACGATCTTTTCCTCAACAGTGTGAGCAGACTCGATTGTGTAGAAACCAGATGGGTCGTTTCTCAACTTCAACTTGACGGCGATAGACTGCTCACCCTCAACTGGAACGACACCCTTGATCAGCCATTTGGCAATCACAGGCTCGGCGCCCGCTGGGAGCTCCTCCTTGTTGGTGTATCTGGCCTCGACGTCGAAGTCACCCTTTCTGAACAAGGTAATGATCTTAGTGGAGGGGAAAGCGCCACCTCTTGGGAACACCTCGAGGTGGTCGTCGTCCTCCTCGTCCTTGTCCCAGAAGTAGGAGACCGAGTATGGGTTGAAGTCCTCGAACTTGAATGGTCTCACTCTCATGGTTGGGGAGTGCATGGCACAGATGAAAGCGTTACCTCTGGCAATGGCCTCGTCTTGGATCAAGGTCGTGGACAAAGGCTTGCCGAAGAACTCGCTCAATCTGGTCTTCAAGGATGGCACTCTGGTGCAGCCACCGATAATCTCAATGGAGTCGAGGTCGGAGGTGGTGAGACCGGCGTCCTTCAAAGCCACCTCGATTGGGACATGGATTCTGTCCAACAATGGAGTGACGTACTTCTCCAACTCCTCTCTGGTCAAGGAGGAAGAGACGTCCACATCGTTCATAAGCGACTCGATGTTGATAGGAGCCTGGGTGTTGGCAGACAAGACCTTCTTGACTTTTTCGGAAGCAGCAATGACTTTGTAGAAAGCCTTGGGGTTCTCCTTGACGTCGATCTTGTACTTGGACTTGAACTCCTCGGCAAAGTGGTTGGCAATGGCTAGGTCGAAGTCACGGCCACCAAAGTGCTTATCGTAGGCAGAACCCAAGATCTTCAACTCACCCTTCTTGACGGCGGCGATGGAAACTTGGTACGAGGAGTGGCCAATGTCAACGAAGGCGACCTTCTTTGGCTCGTCCTCTGGCAAGTCGTTTTGCTTGAAGACACCGTAACCAACAGCGGCGGCAGTGACTTCATTGACGATTCTGACTGGGTTCAAGCCGGCAATTCTGCAGGCGTCCGAGGCAGCGCGTCTCTGCTTCTCGGTGTACCAGACAGGCACGGAAATACACACATCCGAAATGACAGCCTTGGTCTCCTTGGCAGTGATGTCCTTGATTTTGCCGAGGTACATGGCAGTCAATTGAGTGAAGTTGAACTCCTGCTGTTCGCCGGCAAATCTGACCTTGGCGCTGACTTGGCCATCCTCGTTCTCCAACAAGGTTGGGGCGAAGTACTTCTTCTCGATCTCAAAGTCTGGGTCGTTGAAGTTCAAGCCCAAGACTCTCTTCAAGTTGTCGACAGTGTTCTTCAAGTTGGAGGTTTGCTGGTCTTTTCCAGACTCACCGATGGATCTGTTCTTCATGCCAAATCCGACGAGGGAAGGCGTGGAACGGTTCGACACTTCATTGACAATGATGTCGATACCTCTATTTATGGCACAGGCAATAACCGTGTTGTTGTTACCGAGATCAACACCTAATGGAGCAGACATTTCGTGTGAGTAATTTTCTGTAGTGTGGAAAAAGATGATGTCCGGTCTGTGCGCTTCAGCAGGTGCCCGGTAATTAAACACGAAAAAAAAAGTGCGGTGCGCCCACGACTCATCTAGAAGCTTCGAGAACCACTTCCAAATGGATGGCTACTGAAGTCTAAAACTGCAAAAATAGATCGATTACCGGCATTGCCTCTTTTTCTTGGAAGAAAGCTCAATAGACTCAAAGCTAAACTCGAGAAGAATCGATTGCAAGCGTGTGCTGGCGTGGCTCATTCACCCGTATTCGTTGCGCCAGCAGCAGCAATAGAGCGGCCCTGCTTTCACTGTGCTGCGCAGTGCTGAGGCGGACCATGTATAATCATGCATCTTTGCAGCAAAAGCAGTCTAATAATCGAGATGATACCGTCATGAAAATTCTCTATCTTCCTCTATCTTCCTCTGTCTCTCTCTCTCTCTCTCTCTCTGTTCAAGATATCTTGCCCACACAGTTCCGGAATTCTTCCGTTTAGCTCGTGCATGCCAAAAAGATATTCGTCTTTAAGAGAGTTCATTCAGGCACTATGCTCCAAAATGGTGAGGAGGGTCATCCAGCCACCGGACTCCAAGAGAGCCACGTAGTCTTCAGTCTTCTTGTCCTTAACACAACGGAGTAGCAAGTCAATTTCGTCCCCGCTCAAAATCTCCATATTGATCAAGTATACCAAAAAATGGAAGTCCCGGAGGTTAGACAAATCGCCGTTGCCCAGCAGCAACTGCGTTTGCACAGCTTGCGTGTTCTGGAGCTCGCCAATAAAGTCTCTCGCCTCTATCGGAAACTGCAGCACAAACATTGGTTCGGGTGCTAAGGGGAAGGAGTCCAGCAACGTGACCAAGAGAAAGTCCACGGGAAAAGCAGGCTTGGCGTTCTCCTTGACCTCCAAGCCATACTCGTTGATCTTCGAGTAGAACACGTCTGGCACGTACCGCGTCCCACTCGTTTCCTTGATGTGAATCATGTTTGGGTGCGTCGAAGCACTGATGTCGTCAGCCTTGACCAAGGCCTCTGCGCTGGCCGAGACCTGGTACGCACGAGGCTCGATTTCGCCCTCAAGACCGCCCGTGATGACGCACGTGACAAACTTCGACGAGAAGCGCCCGGACTTGGCCCACTGGGTCACATTGGGGTACCGCACCTGGTTACGCGCAGCCATGATGGCCTCGACGCACGAGAGAAAGAAACTGTCCTTGTGTCTCTTGCACAAGACTTTTCCGTCGGATGTTTTTGCGTCCGTCAAGTCGGTGAAGACCACTCCTACTTTGTAGAGCCCCAACCCACCGGCTACCTTGTCGACCAACTCTTCGTCCTTCCACTCGAGAAGCGTGACGCCGTCAAGCTCGCTCGCCTGGGGCGGCTCGAAAATGGCCTCGACAACCGCTTTGATGCCAAGAGGCACCTTCTCGTACGGCTCGTATCGGCCGTATAGAACGCCGTACGGCTGCACGCCAGACTGTCTCCATGTGTCGATGAACTTATTGAGGATGGTGTGGTCGGCATACTCCAAGTGGTCGACCATGCGGAACTTTTGTTGTTGGAGGGTGATGGGCGCAGGCTGGCACTTGGAGCATATTCCCTTGGGATATGGCGAGTGGCCGTTTGCACAGCGCAAGTCGATCGAGTAGTCGGGCCCCTTGAGCGGGGCGATGTACGACAGGCCGCTGGCGCGGTTGTTCTGCTGCTCGTTCAACTCCTTCACGTGTGCATGGAACGACTTGTGCTTGACGCCGTACTCGTCCAAGTAGTCCCGGTTCCAGGGCGGCAACGGCGAGCAGTACTCGCACATTCCCTTCTCTCCGTGCCTACACATATACAGTTTCGGGCGCAGAATCATTCCTTCCTGCTTGTCTAGAAGATCGTCCACAGGCAACTGGGACAGCTTTGCGTTTTGGCCAACAATGTCTGAGATCTCCTCGCCGCTGATCGCAATGGTGCCGTTGACAGACTGCGCCACCGCCGTGACAGGGCCGCCGGCTGCACCGGCTTCTGGCACGGCCAGATCGCTGGTCTCTAGATGCAAAAAGAGAATGTCGCCATTCTTCAAGCCGAGGTCGGAGACCAGCTTTCCGGCAAAGTCGGTGGCAGGTTTGCCCTTCTCGCCCGGCGAGTTGTTCACATAGAGATCGCCACCCGAAAACGCAAATTGTGCGGTGGCGTCTTGGAGGGCATCGCTGAATGCCTGCGCCGGGTCCGCCGATACCCGGACCATTCCAGATTTGGATCGAAACCGGATGATCATGTTTGTGTGCAAAAGTAGAGAGATACGGTGAACTTGGACCTGGGTCTTGGGCCTCGTTCCGTGGTGCGCGTGCCGTATCATATCAGTAGCGCCACGCCTGTACGAAGGTCGTGGAAGGCCGCTGAGAAAGTGCGGAGAGTAGGGCCGGGGCAGGGCCAGGGTCTGGGGCCACCGGACCCAAGAATGCATTGGCGGCTCTGGGTTCTGTTTTTTTTTTTCAAGCCACAAGAAGCCGCCAAATCGGCAAAAAACGTCACTGTGCTGTTTGTGGCTTTCTTCTGGGCCACAGTGGTTTTTGCTTCTGGTTCACCTGTAATACATAGGTCCTAATAAACTAAACAGACCTTCTACCAATGTAGGTGCACCAGCCATGTCAACCACACCCGGGGATTAAAGTTTGCGTGGTTTGTTTCCCGCTCGTATTTTCAAGCCAAGCCGCTATTTTTCTGGCTCTTTTCTGACTATATTTCCCGGGTTGTCATCATTCACAGAGTGTTCTTCCTTGCTTTCCTCGCTTCACTGTCTCCAGGGCCAACTTTCGCACCGGTCCGACACCCAGCATGTTCCAGATCCAGCAGGGCCTATGGAAGCAACAGACCAAAAAAGTACAGGGCAGCCTAAGCCCAAGATCCAACGTTTTGCCACACTCATATGTTCCTATGTAGATAATGGCTGAAGCTGCGCTTTTTCCGGAACACCCGGCTGTGTTCAAGGACCCCATTGTGAGGCTTGCACTGCTGCCGGCCTGGTCCAAAGAGTCGCTCCAGCCAACAGAACACCCAGAAATCACAACAGATGGCAATCTGCTACACAGTCTCTCAGACCACCAGGCTCAGAAATTTATACATGACAAGCACGGAGATAGTCGACTCTTGCCCCTTCGGCAATTGTCTGGGGATTCGGCCGCCAAAAAAACGGGGTTCCTTCCAATCAGCAGCGCAGATTTGGGCCATGAATGTTTACAAGCTACAAGTCTAGCAATGTTTGGTGTAAGACGCTCTGCGGATTCTCTCAAAAGACTTGACGTGTCTGATGCACGTGCGTATACGAAGAAAGGTATCTCCAGTACCAAACTGTCAGTTATGAATCAGGTCCAGACTCAAAGTGCTTATCGGATCGAACCCGCCCCGAGACTCGCGGTTGACTGTGACCCTTTTGCTGAATTTGGCGAAACAGACCACGAGAATTCGAGCCCCACTGATGAACTTGAGGACTGCGTATCGGAGAGTCCTTCGAAGCAAACCATGATATCACAAGTGCTGTCTCTTACTATCAATCATACCGCGATTAATCAAGATGTCTGTGAACCCTATAATGCTTTTACAAATGCGTCGGGAAGTATACCACTGCGGTCCTCTCCTTATCAACCGAATACACGAGTCGCGCCGTGGCTCAATTGGCTAATGTCTTCGAGCTCAAGTAATTCAGAAGATGATAAAGTTTCTAGCTGTCCAAAAGCTGTGACTGCTATGGTTGAGCTCACAGGTATCCGAAATCCCGCAGACAAAGATACTCTTGATATTGCCGAGGACTCTCAAACTGACAGGTACGGTTTCTACATGTACTCAAAAAACAAAGAGGGACACACTCGATTCTCCAAATGTGAAGAATCGGGCACTACTAGGAAGGAGGAAAATACTTACCGTAATAGCGAGTGCGCGATACCACTAGCTCAGAAGTACTCAAGCCCAGTGGGTCAAGCTTCATTGGCCGAAACTACGTTACAGCGGTCTAGTTCTTCATGGCCGCTGGCCGTGGAATCATCCTCCACCCATGAGAGATTTTCTCAGAGCATGCAAAAACTCAGAATCTTGAGTAAGCAGCACGATGAAAGAATTCAGCGGCGTGTGGCCAAATGGGACGCTTTTATGGCAGACGTGGAAAGATCTTGTTTTTCCAAAGAATACATCGGGAGTGATGATATCGAATTTTTTGGGTTCAAGGCATCACGGCTACTTCTGCGACGACACAGCTCCTCGTGGTTCTCGGGCATCACCAAGGACGGCAAAGTCGAAACTCGGCTTTACAATGATCTCCTCCGGTTGAAAAGCACAGACGGTTTTCCCTCAAAATACAGGAACTTACTCTGGCTTGAACTCTCTGGTGCCTCGAACAAATCTGTGCCCGGAGAGTTCCATCGCTTGCTCTGCCTCTGCCAAGAGTCCTCGGATCCATCAATCCGAACAAACGTGGAACAAATCAATCTAGATGTACATCGAACTCTCTCTTCAAACAAATTTTTCTTCGATGTTGAGAAATGTCAGCCGGGCCCCCATTTTTGTAAATTGCAAAATATTTTGTACGCTTTCATTGTTCACAACCCAAAGGTTGGTTATTCACAAGGAATGAATCGAATCGTTGGTAATTTGTTGCTTGCGACGAGCGAAGGGTCAAGCCAGGGAACGGTTGGTATAAGCGAGGAAGGCGTATTCTGGATGTTTGTTGGTATTGTTGAGGACCTTCTCCCAAGATACGAGCAACTTTTCTTTTTTGATCCGAATGCGCTTCCATTTATTCAGAATGATGTTTCCATCGCCGTGAAACAACATTTTGCAAATCTTTTGCCGCAACTTTTTGGACACTTGAACCTGCTACGGGTAGAGATCGAAATCATTGTGCTTGGATGGTGGTTAGGACTCTTTTCTGAAATTTTGAAGTCTCTTGACATCTGGTTCCATGTTATTGATGGACTCATGTTGGCAAAAAATCCTAATGTAAAGCTCTGCGCATACAGTATTGCCATTTTCAAGCTTTGCGAACGTGAGTTGTTTGATTTGAAGACTACTGGCGAAGTTTACAGTTATTTTGAAAGGTTGAAAAATGGGACAGCGTCTTTTGTTCGTAATGTTGACTTCTTGACCACTTGCACGTCGATCGAAAGCCGGTTGGAGTTGATTAAAGAGCCGAAACAATAAGACAGAATTACTCTCTGAATGCATTTTCGAAAGCATTTTAAAAAGCATTTGCAAATATTTTTTGAAGTCTCTTAGTAGCGTACTTTACTCCGGATACATTCAATTGAAATACTCCATATGGGATTATGGGATCTGAAGCCGCAATCTTTTGAATCCATTATCAAACAAACGAGTGACCGACATACGTGATATGTGACAAGAATTCACGAAAATATTTTCAGAGGGTCCGAAACACAGAGTATGCAAGATCAGGAGATACACAATCAGTTTCAGTTCCGCTTCAAGTGGTATCTACGTAGTGCTGTTTCATGTTTTAATGTGGTACTTGAATATACGTTGAGGAATGATGTTAGCCATCAATGAGTTTTGCTCCGAGCATAAGACAGCACCTTCCCAAGTCAAGCTGTATCGCGTTTACTGGTTCATGCTCTACTTTTGAACCTTGACTTGCTTGGGCCCAACCTAAGCTTCTCTCAATTTCACTGATAGAATGTGCCTACGTGTATAATAAAATATCATACACTGCAGCGATGTGCAGTTCGTAAAGCCTTGTTCCAGCAAGACACGCGCCAGGGCTGGTATTGGAATTTCCTCAAATGTGTTGTTTGTGTCTCCAGCGCAATTGTTTGAATCTTTCATGTCTGTCTCAAACTAATTAGCCTCCAAGGAGCCTCTGCGGAAAGATAAAATACATTTTTCCAACATTTAAAAGTCGGTTCCTGAGTCCACGAATGTGGATCAGGCAAATACTAAGGCCACGAGGCCTGTATAAAACCTCCCAGCCCCGATTTTAACAATTCGAGTCTCGCCGTCCCCCTCGAGACATTTCGTCGAAGCCGTCGGCAAAAAGACTAACCTCGATGTTCAATCTTCCAAGGAGCCAGAACAGAAAGGCAGTGATCGGGGCTTCGGCTCTTCTAGCAATACTCTTTCTTTTTTTCTTGCGCCTGAACAATATTTCGGGCTCATTCAGCACACTGCCTGTTATTTACATAGACGCCAACACCGGCAATGTTTTGCCCAACTTTGATCCCCAAAACCCGACAAACCTTAGGCAAATTGCTCAAGAGGCAGGGGCAGGAGGGGCAGAAGATGTTGCGGAACCCATAAAAGATGTGGTCAATGAGAAAGAGGCTGCTCTCCAGCAGACCATGCAAGGTCTCTCAACAAGCCAAGACCAACAAAACTTGAAGCCTGGCGATTGCCCTGTTCCTGGCGAAAGAGTAAAGGCCACGTTTGTCTCTTTGGCTAGAAATCTGGAACTCTACGATCTACTTCCTGCTATCCGTAATGTGGAGGATCGGTTTAACCGCAAGTTTCACTACGACTGGATTTTCTTAAACGACGAGCCATTCTCGGAGGAATTCAAGAGGGTGACTGGATCCATCGTTTCGGGCACAGCAAAGTACGGGCTTGTGCCAAAGGAACATTGGGGCTATCCGGCTTGGATTGACCAGGAAAAGGCGAAGAAAAGTCGTGACGATATGGAAAAAGCGAGAATCATCTACGGTGGGTCAGAGTCCTACAGACACATGTGCCGTTATGAGTCGGGTTTTTTCTTCAGACACCCATTGATGGAGGAATACGACTGGTACTGGAGAGTGGAGCCAGGAATTAAGATTCATTGCGATTTGGACTACGACGTGTTCAAATTCATGGAAGAAAATGGAAAGGACTATGGATTCACCATCACGATCCACGAGTTTGAGAAAACCATTCCAACATTGTGGCAGCATACCAAAGACTTCATCAAATTGCACCCTGAGCACGTGGCGCAGGATAACTTGATGAAATTTGTGAGTAATGATAATGGTGAGACGTACAACTTATGTCATTTCTGGTCCAATTTCGAGGTGGCATCGTTGAAGTTTTTGAGATCGAAGGCTTATATGGACTATTTCGAGTATCTCGACAAGCAGGGGGGATTCTTCTACGAGCGTTGGGGAGATGCTCCCGTACATTCGATTGCGGTTTCGCTATTCATGCCCAAAAACAAGATACATTTCTTTGAGGATGTGGGATACACGCATGCACCATACACACAATGTCCCTTGAACGACAAATTCAGAGCTGACCACAAATGTGACTGTAAGCCTGAATCGGACTTTACCTTCCGGGGGTATAGTTGTGGAAACCAGTACTACAACGCGATGGGCATCGAGAAACCTGTCGAGTGGGAACACTTTCAGTGATGACGTCACCGCTATGACGATATCTCTACATATGTGACCTAGGTGTTCTCTTTTCCTATCAATACTTGGGAGGCCTTTAATACATAGTTCTGCGAAAGTTTATTTGCGAATATAGACGTATCATGGTGGCTATTTGACCTGTGCAGTACATTTTGAATGATAAGCATCTTTTACTAAAGAAGCTGCAAAATCATTGAGAGGCTTCATGCAAAGGCGGACTTGCTTCCTGTAAGTGTGTGGTATTTTAATACAAATACGCGAACAAAGTCTGAAGGAGTGCGGTTGCGAGTACCTTAAGTTTTGGCTGGTGGGGTTGTGGGGCGATTCCGAGGAAAGCCGTGCCCTACTTCCTGCGTTGAGTATCGTTTGGTCGAACGAGCTTTAAGGTCATTTGGAAACAGAAGGTTGTAGGTGTGTTTGTTACTAATTTAAGTGGCCATTTTTCATCTATTTCAAATGAAACGAAAAATTGCAAACGATTGAACGCGACACTGTATCGTGAAGCCATCTCCACTTTGGACACTCGTATTCATTGTATGTGTCAGAGGAATGACTTGGGACTACCGAGAAGTGGGCATGGACTGTGCGCTGAGACCAAAACTTGGACCTCCCCAATATCATCCCATGCTAAGACTACGCTGCATACTAAATTGATGTTACGGCAGTCGCGACAATAAGTGATGAGCAGACGTGTGCATTGGAATCTTGCGACTGACATTTTTAGCATTGCATGCGATACTCTGCAAGGGTCACATCTATCGCGTAGAAGCTTATAGGTTAATCTGGAGGCAAGACTGAATGGCTTGCAAATAAAGGTATAGCCGAGACCAAAGAGAGAGAAAGCATGGGCCACAGGGATTAAGGCAAACTTGAGTTGCAAGGTGCGCCTGATTATATGGGTAGAGAAGCCATATCACAACCCACAACACAAGACACAACACAACACACAACACGCAACTCACAAAACACAACTCACAACTCACAAAACACAACTCACAACACACAACACACAACACACAACACACAACTCACAACTCACAAAACACAACTCACAAAACACAACTCACAACACACAACTCACAACACGCAAAACACAACTCACAACTCACAAAACACAACTCACAAAACACAACTCACAACACGCAAAACACAACTCACAACACACAACTCACAACACGCAACTCACAAAACACAACACGCAAAACACAACTCACAACACGCAAAACACAACACACAACACACAACACACAACTCACAACTCACAAAACACAACTCACAAAACACAACTCA